CCACCCAGACAGATGACATGGTCAAGAAGTACAATGATCTAAATCGTGCGCATGAGCTGCTCCAGGCTCAGTATTCAGCATCGCTGCGCGCTTCGACCTCTCCCACGATGGCAAGCCAGAAAGATGATGCAGAGTTGGTTACACCGCCACCGGCCAACCACACACAATCCTCGTCACCTGCCAGCTCCCTCCCTACAACCAGCGCAGCGGCCCTTGATGGCAAGTCGTTTGATAGCGCGGTGCAACCCCGGATCATTCAGTCTCTTCACGGGGTGTCTGCACCGCCGTCCAAGCCGGCGGCGTCACAATTGCTCACCATGCACAGCACGCCGGAAGAAGTTGTCAAGTACTACACATGGACCAGTGACCAGCCACGCCTTTATCTCAAGCAATCGCCCACAACCACGACTTTGACGTCACTGGTCAAGTGGGCCAATCACCCGTCCCGGCTCAACGGCAACAAGTCATTAGATTCCATGGCGACGCAGCTCCTTCAAGCGCGTCAACGCATACCGAAAGGCGACGCACCTACTCTCGGGGCGATGGCGGCTTCGTGGGGACTGGAGCCCGGCTATCTCACCAAGCTCACTGAGAAGGCATTGAGTCACCTCATCGTGACCGCTCGCCTACTCAGCTGATGAGCAGGCATCTTAACGACCTTCGTTCTCTTATGAGCCCGGAGCGGCAACCGTGTCACGGATGAGTCAAGGTTAAAACTCGTCCGTCATCTTTCTGCGTTGCATCAGTTTGATCTTGTGCTTGGTTGTGCTTGCATTGCCTTGTGCGTGATTGTCTGTGCAGCTTGTATCCATGTCGCCGCCTTATGGTAGATTTCATTGGTTGCATTTTCACCATGTTGGATGAGCTTCGCCGCTGTGGAATCTATGATGATGTTGCACAATGGCAGTCTCTGGACAACTTTTTACACTCGTTGACCATGTTCTCTACGTGCTGGCAATACTGCTTCCCTGGACTACCACCACCGTCGATACCATCTGATGAGTACGAATCAATCACACAACTACCGTGGTTGGGCCTCATTCTGGAAGTCTTAGTTGTGGTCCGGATTGCCCTTCAGATTCCGAATCACGCTATGTCACACTCTCAACACACTGTGGCCAACAGGTATGAGATTCATAGATGTCGGTGCACTGCCTATTTATTGATCAGTTTCTTACAACGTCTCATTTCCCAAGATCATGGCTACTTTCCGCCGTTCTTTGAAGTCCTTCACTTCTACAAGGCTTCTCTCTTGTGTGAAATCATGCACTCCACTTTTGCCGACACGCGACATCTTCGCTCATTGCGGGCACGATTTCCGGACCTCTATGACTTCATTCACGATCCAGGTCATCATCAACAACCGTGCGTCTACATCCGACTTTCCCCATGGCACACACCTTACTACGTTGGTGCGACTGATCAGGATGTTCTACGACGTGAACACTCACGCAGTCGCAAATTTCTACAACTACTTCGGGGACGTCATGCCTTCTTCGAACCCGCGCTTCACTACAGGAAGCGATCCAATACTTACTGGCTCTTCTGTGCTGTTCCGGTTGAGATCAAACTTCCCGTTTCCTCGGTTTGGGTCCAGGAAAGCAAATGGCAATACCTGCTACGCCCGCATTTGAATGCACCCTGGGTACACAGACTTCTGCGAAAGGTGGGCTTCCGGGAACACCTCGTTGATTTTCGACGTCACTCGTTGTCGTCTCCCACTTCCCTCGGCTTGCACAAACGCTTTCGACGACGACTACATCCGGATCTCCAACGACAACTACGTCCCGACATGCTGGATGACATTCAGGCCCATTACTCCATTCTCTATCAGCTGGGATCCAATACAGGTGCATCGTTCCAAGCCATGCGTGACCTTCTGTCGGCAGCTTTCCCTCCTACTCAGCTTTACTACTTTCTGCGGCTCTCCGTCTTTGTCAACGAGCCCTTCCGCTCCAAGGCGCAGAAACTCCTCGCCCAGGTGTTACGCAAACGACAGCTACAATCACCCACCACTTTGACACAACTACTCCTACCGCCTCTACATGTCCGGAATTGGAAAGCTCTACTTGGCACATGGTTACAAAGCTGGATTGCTTCTCATCGTGATTTGTTTCCCTCCCTTTTCCTTCCAAAGATCCGGGTGGTGGAAACTCGCAGTGCCACGTTGGGCGACAAGATCTACAACTACCGCACATGGCAGCGCAGATGGACTCCTGAAACATCCTTTCCGTGTCGCTGTTTGGACATCGATGATCACCATATACACCGAGCACATGGACATGCTGTAATGGTTGATGAGTTCTCACGCATCAATGCGGACATTGACATGGAAATCATGGCCGCATCAATGAAGGATCAGTATTTCGGTGATGTCGACTTGTTACATCAACGTTTCACCACGCAACTTCGCAAACTTGCTCGTCGCTGGCATGTGCATGGTTCCAGTCTTCTTGTTGATCTGCAGCCGGTTTTGACTCAGTTGATGGACACTCATCGA